ATATCCTGAGCACTGCGAGATTTGGCAGCCCTGCAGCTCCTCCACCCAAGAGGCAGAAATCCGAGAAGCCGAAACGGTTGGGCGAAACTGTGGCAGGACAAGTGGGCAGCACACGAGGAACAGCCTGGTCCTGCAGAGCCAAAGTGGAGCTGCAATTTCACCCTCAGCCCTCACACTGCAGCCGCCTCAGAGAGGAAGGCATAAACAGGGGCAGGGGCCAGCGGAGCTTCACGCTATTAAATCCGTCTGCCACTGCGAGCTGCTCTATAAATGTCAATGGGCAAAGGCATGATTGAAGGTGACTCTGGGATCAGGAGAGAGATGTTTCCAGGAATAACTGCCCACAGAAGTGCGGGGGGAGGGAGAGAGACCCCTGGGAGCAGGGATGTGATAAGTCAGCAGTCGAGAGGCAATGGACCTGGGCAGGGCATGGCCTCCTGGCTGCTGCAGCTCTGCTGGCAAAGAGCAGTGCAGCATTGCACGAGAACAGCAGCACTGCAGGAAGCAGGGCTGCTCAAGAAACCCCAAGTTCAGCACTGAGGGTGATCCAAGGTTGGTTCCTGGGGCACTCCTCGGGCTGCCAGGGTGCATCCCTGACAGTGAGCCGCCAGCCTCACGCTCTGAGCCTGCAGCCCTGCTCATGGTGGTGGCTTCCCCAGAACACGTTCTCCATCAGCAGCGAAGGCATTGTGCTCTTCCCTGAGCCCTTCTGGCTCAGAGCTGGGCTGGATGGTTCAGCTATGGCTGCTGCCCTCCCCAGCTCCGATAATGCCTCAGCGAAGCCACGTGGGTGCGTCCTGTGGCCTCCCTGGCATTTGGCTGTGCGTCATGTGAAACCCCTCCTACAGCCTCTGCTGAGTAACTGCACTATTTTTGGCCTTGCAACGAGGGAGCTGCGCTCATCCCAGCGAAAGGCTGGAGGCGACCCTTTCCCTTTCACTTCCCCGCAGGACCCCCAGCCCCATCCCACCCATGGCCACGGGGCAGCCATTGCCCTGCTTGGAGGCACGCTTGGGAAGCGCTGAGGTGTCATCACAGCCTGCCCAGCACTGGCTCTGGGATTCCTCAGGACTCTGTCAGACCCCAATAAAGTTATACACGTTCTCATGACCCTACGGCCCCACAGCAGTGGTAAATTCAGGACACAGAGCAGATGTGGGTTCTGGGGAGCCCTGGAGCTGTGGTGTGCAGATAGGGGAGCGCAGGCTTCAGACTGAGAGGTAAACGATGGCTGGAAACCTGCTTTGTGGACACTAACAGGTCACTGCAGGAAGCAGCGCCTGAATTAGTGCAGCAAGGACATTTCGAAGGCAGTTCCAGGTGTTGGTGGCACAAGGGCTGGCATTAAAGCCTCCTGACAGGGCACAGCAGGTTCCAGGAGAAATGCAAAAACCCAAGCGGGTTCCTCTGGCCCCAGAACATTCGGATGCGCGTTGGACCTTGACAGCGAGCTGCTACACGAAGGGGAAGGAGTAGGAACTAGGCCAACATTGGGCACACGTCCCGTGGGGATACAGCTCCCTCTGGCGAGTCCGGGGCTGGCAGCGCTGCGGGCGACGGGCACCACGACCCCCAGCGCGGTGGGACCGGGAGCTGCAGCGCTGGACATTGGGCAGAGCAGGACATTTGCGGAGGGCGCTGCTGGAGATCCCACCGCTGTGGGACGAAGAGGGGCTGCCCGGATCCTGTCCCCGTGTGCCCGCCGATAGGTGGCAGTGGTGGATCTTGCTTGGGGACAGGCCGGGCCCCGTGTCGCAGCTGGGAGCTAGCTCGTCCCTGCGAAGCGTTCGCGGAATTTATTGCACAGCCGCGAAATGTGGCACGGAGCTCTGCGTAGTGCAGCAGACGCAGCCTTTTCCCTCTGTCCTCTGCTTGAATCCTTTACAGCGGCTCTGCATCGGGACTCACCAGCGCAGGGATCGGGCTGCAAAATGCAGGTGCCCCCCCTTTGGCCAGGTGTGGCCACTTCGTGATGCATGGGACAGGAGTGAGGATGGGGGAGTGCTTATGGTTGTGTAGCTCACCCGTGAAAAGAAGAGTGCTGTTGTGCTAGTGGGAGAAACCCTCGCTGGGAGCTGCACAGCAATGGGCTTTATTGGTATTTTAATATATTTACCTGTTCCACAGCTGGCCACAGCTTCCTTAACACTCCCCAGCTCTGAGTTAACAATTCCGTGCTGTACTGTGGGATGCTCCCAGCATGATCCCCCCCACCATTGAGTGCTGCTGCAGGTCCCCAAGTGCCTGGTCCCTGCTGTGCCACAGGGAGTGGAAAGGAGAAACAAGAAAAGGTGTTGGGGAAGGAAAGGAAAGCAGAGTATGTCTGTGGCGCTTCATATGGACCCATGCTGCTCCTGTGTGACCCTGAGTGTGACAGAGAGGCCATAGGAACGTGGCTGTGATGGGATGTGAGAAGCCTTTCCTGGGAGCCGCTCAGCTGCTGCACAGAGCTGCTCATGGCTCATCCTCAGCCAGGAAATGTGAATAGAAATCAAAATCTGAGCCCATGCACCACGTGGACCATAGGTGTGATGGTTCAAGCCCAGCCTCTGCACCCAAACCCTCCTCTGCTTTAGTCTTTGTAGGGCTTTTGGGCCCTAATCAATCATCGCTTTCCCTCTCCCAAACAAGAGTCAATTTGCCTTCTGGACCAGGAATAAACACCTCTGCCCCTTGGCCATGGCTTTCTCTTTCCCCAGCATCCCTCTGGCCCCACCACCACAGCCACAGCACCACACACATGTGCTGATGGGTCCCAACAGCACAGCACACACATGGCCTCGCGCAGGGCGCGATGGGATGAAGTACGTCATGGGCAGGCGCTGCTTCCAGCACAGCAATGCAGCCACTTCCCCCCATTGTGTGTCCCCTCCTTGGGCCGCTTGGCCAATCTGCAGTCTCCCATCACCTCCCTCCCACCACCACCGGCTGTTCCTCTTCTTCAGAATGCTTCACTTCCGCCGCCCCGCTCGCAGCTCGCCTTGTGCTGTTCCGTCCTCCCCATCTGCTGGGGGGCCTTGGGTGAGGGAGATGCTGAAGGGTCCCTCCCCCTGAGCTGTGCTGGTGGGACAGCTGGGATGTATCCCAGCAGAGGGGGTCACGATGGTGGACATCTAGAACCTCCCACAGTACTACACCCATGCCTACAGCAATGCTTGGTGCTGTTGGTGCTCCGTAACGCCATTGCTGCATGGCATTGCTGTGTAGGCCAGTAGGGTCTCCACGTGCCCCTTTGCTCTGAGTGCCCATTCTCAAGGCTTGGCCACAGATGTGTGCATCTCATTCAGAGCCTCAGGGTGCTGCCGGATGAGGAGGGTTCCCAACAAACCATCACTTACTTGGAGGTGATGCACTAAGTGGGGAGCTCTTCTTGCACACCCCTATTCTGGAGGAGGTTGTACTGAGGTTACCATTCCTCCATCTTGCTCACCGAGGCACAAACTCACGCACGTCCCCTATTTCTGCAAACGACAATATGGCAGAACACAGAAGGGAATACAATTCTTTCCTACAGCCGAATCCAACCTCAGCGCGGGGCTGCCGCTCCGCTATCTTTGTTCTTGGCTATCCTGTTTCTACCCACGAGACTGCGGAGCCTCCATCGCTCAGCTCCGACGGCCAAGAGCCGAGCTTGGGCTTCCTCTCCCTCGACACCTCGCTGCCACCCGGCAAACAATCGCTGGGCGTGCCGCATCCTCTTCCAGCGCTGCTCCAGAGTCCCCCGGCCTCGGGGTGGCCGTGCGACACGGCCACGGCGAGCCGTGCAGAGCCGAACCGCGCCGTACCGTGCCGAGCGTCGGAGCTGCAGCTGAAAATTTCTCCGGCTCTTTCCGAGCGGCGCTCTCTCACCCGCACGGTGCAGACGCGCAGCGTTTTAGCGGCGCCAACGCTCATAACGCGGCACGTCTGTGCTGGCTGCGGGACGGACGCACTGCGAGATCGACGCGTTGCGGGACCGCACCCCGCGCAGTCGGGGCTCCGCGGACGCCCATCCTCCGGGCTCTGCACGGCAGCGGCACTGATCCGAGGCTCCGCGGAGGGGCCGCACCCGTAGCTGCGAGCTCCCGGACGGGACGGGACGGGACGGGACGGGGATGGGGCGGGAGCGGTCGCCGGGCAGCGTTGAGGATCTCGTCAGCCCCCTCCCCCTGCAGCCGAGCGGAATGGTTGAACATGTAGCAATAATGCCCCGGCATTCAGGCTGCCCGGCCCGGCCGGCCTTAATCAGCGGCCCGCGGACCCCCCTCATCTCCCCCTGCGCTCAGAGAAAGAGGAACAAAACCCAGCACGTTTCTGCAGCCCCCGCGCATAAAGCGCCGGGCCTGGGCCTCAGTGGGGGGCAAAGCAGCCCGTCAATCTCGGCGCCGGGGCCCCTTTGTCCCTCGCCTCCTTGCCACACCTTTTGTTCCCGAATCCAATAAGCGCCTATTCCCGCTACCTTCCTCGGCGGCTCCTTTCAGCGCTGGCCCGGCGGCCACAATGGGCCGGCTCTGAGCTGCGCGGCCCCATTCAACGCCTTGGCACGCTCACAATCCGCCCGGGCCGCCCTGCCCCGCGGGCACGGCCTAGCGAGTCCCGCCGGGCACCGGCCGCCGGGCGAAGGAGGAGCGGGCGGCGGATATTGCACCTGGTTTATTGACTGACTCCGCGAGCTGGCGCTGGCAGAAACAGATACAGAGTAGATAGAGAGAAGGGCCGCGGGAGCCCCAGGCCCCGCCGTCGGCTTTTTACAAGCGAAGCTGCTCCGATGGCGCGGCGCGGTCAGCTCCGGCCCGCCCGTCGCGGCGGCACCTCGGGGCGGCGGTGCTCCGCCGCGGGCTCGGCCCGTCCTGTCCCGTCCAGTCCCGTTCCGTTCCGCCGCTCCGCTCCGCCCCGCGGCTCCGGGAGAGAGCCGGGGTCCCGCCGCGCCGCCCCTCCGCCTTCAGTCCGCGGGGCTTAAGGGCGCTGCGGGGCTGCGGGGCCGTCGTGCCGGTCCGCTCCCGGCCCTGAGTGCGTGCGGGCTACCAGGCCCGGATGCCCTGCAGTGCGCCCTGGCTGCAGGAGGGCCCCGCCGCCGCCTGGTGCAGCGCCTGCCCGCCGCCACCGAAGCCTCCCAGGCCGCCCACATTAACGAAGGGGCCGGCGGCCGCCGCCGGGCTGCAGGCGGCTTGCACCGAGGCCCCGCCGCTGCCTGCCGGGTAGGTGCAGCCGTAGCCGGGGTTGTAGGAGGCGGCGTTGCCGTAACCGTAGGCGGGGAAGCCGTTGTAGGAGTAGGGCCCGTTGTACGCCGAGCTGTAGCCCTGCGAGCCGCCCAGGCACGGCTTGCCGTCGCGGACCAGCACGGGCACGGCCACCCTGCGCGGCGGCGGCGGGGCCGCGGGGCCGCCCAGCTCCAGCGACTTGTCCTGCCGCTGCCGCTTGCACTTGTAGCGCCGGTTCTGGAACCAGATCTTCACCTGCGTGGAGGTGAGCTTCAGGCTGCTGGCCAGGTGCTCCCGCTCGGGAGCCGACAGGTAACGCTGCTGCTTGAACCGCCGCTCCAGCTCGAAGACCTGCGCCTGCGAGAAGAGAACGCGCGGCTTCCTCCGACTCCGCTGCTTCGGCCTCTCCGCCTCCTCCGGCTTCTCCGCGGCGTCCAGTGGTTTCTTCAGAGCGCAGCTCTCTGCACGGAGAAGCACAGGTCACGGCTGCGCCGGGCCGCCCCGCGGGGAAGGAGCCCCGAGCCGCGCACCGCCGCCCGACACCGCGACCGTCGGGGAACCGCGGCTCGGGCTGGGAAGCAGCACCGAGGCGGGCGGCGGGGCAGGGAGCGATTCCGCGCCGGCGGCGGAGTTCCCGCGAGGCCGAGCACCGGGCACCTGCTCGTCCGCCGCCTCTTTCTAAGAGGGCTCCGCCGCACCGCGCCCGGGCCGGGCCTCACCCGTCCCGCCAAGAGGGGGAGCGTGGGACAATCCGGCGGCTCCGGATCGCGACTCCACGCAGGCTCTGCCCGGGGACGGGGAACGCCGCGGAGCGGAGGTTGGGTACGGCAGCCCCGCGAAGTGCCACTCCCCGCTCCAGGTGCCTGGGGGACGCGGCAGGGAAAGGGCTCCGCGCAGAGCGGCGCGGCTGCGTGGCAGCGCCGGTACCGGGGCTCCGCGGCGCGGAAAGGACGGCGGGGAGCGAGCGCTGAGGGCGATGCGGGGAGCTCGGTGTGGCCGGTACTCACTCGGGTCGCGGGCCGTGGGGTCCAGATCTTCTCCCGGGCCGGGAGCCTCGCAGGAGCCGCGCAGCACGGCGTGCACGTAGCTGTCGGCGGAGAGCCGCGCGTCCGCCTGGCCTCCGGGCGTTGCCACGGAGCTCAGGTAGGACAGCTTCTCCTCCTCCTCTTCCTCCTCGCCGTCGGAGAAACGGGCGCCGTCGCCGGCCGCCAGCAGGCAGGCGGCGGGGTGAAAGTGGTGCTCCAGGTGGTGTGGGAGCTGGGCCCCATAGTGCGGGTCCTGCTGCTGCTGCTCCAGGTTGAGGATGTCTTTGACAGAGAACGGGGTGGAAGTGACGGGGCTCGGTAACATCATCGGGGCAGCGCGAGCGGCCGGGGAGTCCCGGGGGCCCGGCGGCGCTCGGGCTGCGGCTCGGCGGGGAGCGCCGCGCCCGGTGCGGGGGGAGCGGGCAGCGCCGAGAGACGAGGGGCCGCGCCTGCTCCTGTCTAAGTTGCCTCCATTAGCCCGGCGCTGGGGGTCTGCGTTTTGTTACAGCTTCTGCAGGGACAGCCAAGGGCTCGGGAGCCTCCTCTGCCCCGGGCCGGCACGTCACGGCGAGGAGGGGCCGGGGGCGGCCTCGCCATTGGAAGGAGGGGGAGGCAGAGCCGGCCCCCTGCCCGACTCCGGCCGCCGGGCCAGAAATAGCAATGTATTAAGGCTGCGCTCGGGGAGGCCGCTTCCCCGGAGAGCGCCCCGCCGGCCCGGCACTCGCCCGACGGGGCTGAGCCCGCGGGCGCGGGGGTCGGGGACCCCGGAGAGAGCCGCGGCCGCCGCCGCCGCGCCTCCCAGTGCTAAGCACGTGTAGGTAGGTAGGGACCCCCACCCGGCGCGCTCCGCCGGTCCCCTCCCGCACACGGTTCGGAGCGAACACGTGCGGCCCCGCAAGTGCCCCTCTGCCGAGTACGCGGCGTCCGGGCGGGCAGTAGCCATGCGATGTACACGTACCCGACGCCCTCCGTGTTTTCCGGACCCCCGCTGCCCCGCCAGTGCTCCTGCATATATCTCGGCGCTGGCGCGTCCTCTCCCGCCTGCACGGGCTCCCCGCAGCCGCCGTGCTCTGCTCCCGTCCGGGGACCGCGCGTCACTCTGCCGCGGCCGGATCGGGCCCCAGAGCCCCGCCAGCGTCGGGCCCAGGTGAACAGGGCCGGGTCGCGGCCGACGGGCGACCAGGGGCCGCGGCGGCGCGGGGCAGGAGTACGGAGAGCTAACCCGGCCCGTTCGGCTTTTTCTTTCGTTTTCTTTCGTTTCGTTTCGTTTCTCTCGCCGGTAACGAGCGGGCAGCGGCCGAACGGAGCTCCCACGCCACCGTGCCGGCGGGTAAAGCACCGGGCGAGCGGCCGCTGCCCGCCGAGCCGCTCCACACCGAGAGTTCCCCCGGGCCCGGAGCTGCCCCTCGGCCCCACCGAACGCACCGGTGCGCTGCGGCGGGCGGTACCGGGACCCCATGACGGGGCCCCCGCGGCCCTCGGAGTGCTCGAAGGGCTCAACGTCTCCGCGGAGCGCGGATCGGGCACACTAAGTGCTGGGTGGGGGGGGCCGGGTGGGAAATTTCGTTGTGATTAAAATGCTGCTGCCCCGCAGGACTCGGATCGACACCGAGGCGAGGCGGCGGGGAGCCGGGCGTACGGCGGGCAGGTGAGTGTCGGTACCTCTCTCGGGTCGGTACCGGGCGGCGCCTCCGCCATTTACCGGCCGTGTCGGTACTTTCGTTTCACTGCGTCCTACCGCTCCGACCGCAACGGCGAAACGTATTTACCGGCGGGGCAGCCCCGGGAAGAGGGCCCACGTCCCACGCAGATGGCCGCGGTTCGGCTGCTGCCGGTCCCGTTCGCCCGGCGGACACGGAGACGGCCCGAGCGCACCGCATCGTTCCCCACTGCGCCGCTTTGAAACCCGCGCTGCGACTGCTGCGGACCGCTCCCTGCCTGCTCCCGGGGCCGCCCTCCCTTCTTCTTTCCTCAGACTGCCCGGTTCCGACCGTGCACCGGGAAACACTGTCGCCATAACCGGGTCCGACTCAGCGCTCGGCGCTGTCTCGGGGCGCAGAGAGAAGCCCCGCGCTGCCGCGGCCCCGGTAACGATTAGCGCCGTTCCGGTGTTGCGTTCGCTGCTGGCCTCGGCCCGCTCCCGCCTCGCGGCTCCCGGGGAACTGCGGGCTCGGGCTCCGCGGGCCGTGCACGGGGCCGTGCTCACCCGAAGCCCGCGGCCGCCGCTCGGCGAACAGAGGGGCAGAGGCCGGAGCAGGGCGAGGCAGCGGCGCTGGGCCTTTGCGGCCCTGGGTGGCCGAAGAATTAAGGGCCGTATTTTTCCAGTTTTCCAGCCGCCGTTCCTAGGGCTCGGCCGCAGGCCGGCCGGGTCTCTGCCCACGCTCTTCGTCCCCACGGGTTTGCCTGGCACCAGCACGCTGCCGCCCGCAGCTGCGGCCCGGACGGGCCGAGCGCCAGGCGCGCCCCGCGGGCACGGGAGCCCGGGCCGGGCGGAATTGGCTCCCCGGGGCGGCGCGGCGACGAGAGCGGTTCTCCCGTCGGGACCCGCTTCCGTGCCGCCGACAACCCCGGCGATGACTCTCGGGACGCACGTCCCGCGGTTGAAAGCCCTTCTCGAGGTTTTGTCCCCTGCCCTTGCTCCCGGTGCGCTTTCCCGCATTGCCGGCCCCAGCTTCGGTGGGATCGGATCGGGCCCGCTTCGGCGCTGAGAGAGCGGCCGTTCCCGGCTGGGGAAGCCGCGGAAGCGAGGCAGGATCGCGCCTTGGTTGGCCCTGTTCGGGCCCATCCCGTCCGTGCTGGGGCGGCCGAGACGAGCGGCGGCGTCCCGGAGAGGTGCGGGGGGTGCGAGAGCCGGGGCAGGGCGCAGCCCCAGTACCTGCCGCCGGGTGTCAGCCCCGGGATGCGGCTCCGGGGCTTTCCCAAGGCGACCGGGCCGGGGTCAGCGGGCTATTAATGGTTATTTTATTTATATCATTAGCGGCGTACCCTGAGCTCTGTTTACAGCGGGGCCTTGTTGTCCCGGCCGCTCCTGCGCTCTGTTTAGACAGGGGATTATTGTAATGGATGGAGCTCGTCGTACGGATGCTGCGGCGGAGCCAAGGCTCCCCCGCCCCGGGCCGAGGAGGGGGGAGCAGCCCTGCAGCGGCCGCGCGCATCGCGGAGTCGCCCCGAGAGCCCCCTCAGCCGCCGGGGCCCCGAGCGCGGGCAGCCCGGTAGCATGCTGCCTCGGCCGGGGGCCTTCGCTCGGGGCGATGCTATCAGCCCCGGGGCCGCTAATTGCTCCATTAGTCTCGCGGGTGCCGAGTGCCGGAGCTGGCCCCGCGCTAATGGCCGTAAACAAACAAACACGCTAAGCCGGGGCTGTCTCCGGCCCCGACGGCTGCGCGGGGAGCGGCCGGGCACGGCGGCGAGGCCCCGGCCGGCTGCCGGGGGTACCATCGGCCTGCGCCCACCTGCACGCCGCCCCGGGCGGCCCCGAGCTCCGCGGGCCGGTGGGGGCCGGTGCGGGTCCGTGCCGCCGGGAGCTGCCCCCCGCGCCCGGCTCTATTTACACAGAGCCTGCCCTTGTATAAACGCTGTGCGCCGTGGTTTATCTCAGGGCCCGTCTGTTTCTCGTTCTCTGTCAGCAGCGCCCGGTGAAGGATGGCCCTTTCCCAGGGGCTCGGCCCTGATTTATGTGAGAACCGCAGCGCTCCGGGGACGCCCCCGCACGGCGGGGCCGCTCGCGGGCACCGGGACTGCGGCCGGCGGACGGTACCAGCGATGCCCCCCCGCTCTCGGCTCCGCACCGCCGGCCACCTGCCGGCTGCCCGCCCGAGGTCCGCGCACCGAGCCCCGGCCCCGGGAGGCTCCGCGGCGAGGGGCACGGAGCGACCTCGCCTGCAGCGACCGGCCCTGGGCGGGACACGCTGCCCTTGGCACACCCGCCTTGGCGTAGCCCTGGCCCGCAGCCTCCCGGGGCAAAGAATGGCTTTATTCCAACGCGACGCTTTCCCAGCAGTGACTCTTCCACTCTTGTTTCGAATGAAATGTATTCTTTAATCCCTGGGCTCAGCAACCACGTCCAAGGCAGGGATGCTGTATGCTCCCCCAGCAGTTGCTGCCTTCGTCCCCCCTATCTGGTCCCATTCCTGCACCATCCTGCCACTCTAACACCCATCCCTGCCTCCCAGGTCTTGGGAACCCCTGGCTTGGCTTTGCCAATAACAACCACTCCTGCAGTACCCATTTTTGGGAGAAATACATCACTGCAATTTTTTTTTTTTTTAAAAGATTATTATCATTCCACTTGTCATTGGCTGTTTTACATTTGCTTCACAGTTCTTGCAGGGATGTATGGGCTGGAAATCTGTCCCAAAACAAAACCTGCATGATAAATGGTTGTTGGTTTTGTTGTTTGGTTTTTTTTCTTTCTTTTTTTTTTCTTTTTTTTTTTTTTTTCAAAGGGTCACACCAAGAGTTTCTGTGCACGTTTCAAGGTTGGGATCCTGAGGTAGGGGATCTGAGTGGTGCTGAATACCAGCAGCTGTGTGCAGCGTTCAGCGCTCAGCACTTCAAGGGATGAGAGTGGCTCATGGCAGAGTACTGGGTTTTGACCCTAAAGGGAAGGTTGTCCTTGATTTCAGTGTCTGATGGAGCTCTGGAACTGAGCCTGACATCTTGAGCTCAGTGAGAGCCAAATCACAGGAGCAGGTAAAGGTCATCCCACATCTGAAGCAACTCAGGATAGGAAATGTCAGCACCGAGGACCCCCTCCTGTCTGCTTTTATTCGACTTCTCTTGTGCACAAAGGATACACAGGCTTGACAAAGCCACCCTGCTGCACAGCACGGCCCTGCGGCTGTGGACGTGCTGAGGGCTGTCAAACACCTCTTCCTCTGGAGGAGAAGCTGTCATAAATCACAGCATAGTGCTCCCACAACGAGTGCTCCTGTGCCAGGGCTCCTGTTGAGGCCACCGCCGCCAACGCGCGTTCACCAGTCCTTCCCCAGCGCCTTTGCTCCGTGCTTCAGAAGCCATCGCTGCCTGTTTGCTTCCATGAGGTTAAGAAGCAGGGCTGAAATTCATCCTTCAGCAGAGGCCCAGCACGAGGCTCGCTCGCCGCTCGCATCCGCAGGCCTGCGTACCACTTGCATCCCATAGGGCTTAAGTGGAGCCTAAGTGGACCCCGGGCCCTGTGCTGGCGTCCGGCCCGGTACTGAATTGCAGCTCCGAGCCCAGGCCTGCAGCTCTGATTCACGCATGTAATCCTGCTGAGGTCAGCGGGATCCATCCCGCTCCCACCACAGCCCGCGGGATGGTTCACACGAGAGTAGCAGGGTCAGGCTCTGTGTTTGCATGCACTGTTGAAAATGGAACAATTCA